CCAGGGTTCGAACCCAGGTCATCATCGTTTGGTGTGGTCAGTGGTATATCAGGGGCTCAAGTGACACCGCCGAAGTCGATCGATATTTGCCGCGTCGCTCGATTCCACGAAAGTTATGATCGGAGAGAAAAAAAAACAGAGAGAGAGGAAAAAAAGGAAAAAAACCGCCGAGGGTGATAAGTCATCGGAGACATTGCGGTGAGCTCATTTGTCTCTGTCCCAAACGCAGCGGGCTCCGTCGCTGGCGAGGAAGGGCCATTTCATTCCAAGCTGAAATCTAAATGTGTTACGGGTTACATCTCGCCACTGTGCGAGATGTTAACTACCTCACCTGGTATGCGGGAGGTTGTCGGATCGTTCCCGACCCCGACGCCTGCTGCTGCTGTATATTTGATAATTCACTGGTCAACACACTTTTTTTTCTGGCATAAGGTATTCCAACGGTTTTAAGGTAATTTTGAGGTGCTGATTCCAAATCTGGCATCAGCTTTTGTCTATCACATCAAATATTGCATTTTCAATAAAAACTGCAGAAGAAAATATTTAAAAAATGTGGATATCTACATAAAATGATATTATAAACACACTATCCTAAAAATACAGCACCATATTTTAACACTAAAGCAGTCACTGACTCGCAACAACTTGCAATCATAAGTACGGAGTTAATTTCAGGTAAAATAAATGAAAATGGGGTATGCCGATAGCATAAAATGAGATGTGATAGAACAAATCTGAGATCAGATTTGGAATCAGCACCCTGAAATTAGTCTAAAACAGCTGCAAAAGTCCAGGCCAGAATTTTTTATTTATTTTGTTGACCTAGTGAAAAGAATTGATATTGCATCATTGACGCCTACAGCAATATTTTGAGTGTCCATGTCTCTCTCTATCTCTCTCCACGTGGTCGCGTGGATTTTTCTCCGGCTCCTCCGTTTCCCTCCTCCACATTTAGAATCAACGTTACACGTTAACAGTATTTGGCCGCTGTAAATGTTCACGTGATGAGCCACTTAAATGAGCTATCATTTGTGGCGAGGTTGCTTCTGAGTAACAAGTGAGTGGGCTTCATCTGGGCTTCACGTGGTAAGATGTAGCTGGTCTCGGGGTGAATAATACGACCTAAATAATACTAATAATCTTCTTGTTTCTTTCGGTAAAGTCACGTAGAAGGGAAATAATATTAAAAATATTTTATTATGTTGTATTTTTATCATTTTATTATTTCCCTTCTACGTGACTTTACCGCAAGAACCAAGAAGATGAATCCCTGCAGTCACAAAAGCATCAAATCTAAAATAATAATAATAATCTCAAACCCAACCCGAGCAAAGCCCAAATCCGTGCCTTCCACCTGAGTGATACGGAGCGACACTGAAACGTCACCAGAGCCTCGAACAGCAGAGTCACCCTGCTGTGCCTCGGGGGGGGGGGGGGGGGGTAACCCCGCATCGTACACTCGGCTACAAAGAAAGCTCAACTTTAAACGCCGAGGCCAAGGTTGACGCATGTGGAACGAAAATCTCAGAGCGGCGAGGCAACCATCGAGCCACTCGCCGCCGCCTTAGCGCTTTGCGTCTCCGTGGCCGAATCCGCACGAACCACCTGGGACGCTCAACGCGAAGTGAGCGTGGCGAAGCCGCCATGAAATAACACCTGCTGGATAGACTAACACTGCACCATAGACTCAGCACTAGCCATAGACTCAACACTAGCCATAGACTCAACACTACCCATAGACTCATCACTACCCATAGACTCATCACTGCCTATAGACTCAACACTACCCATAGACTCAACACTGCCCGTAGACTCAACACTTGCCCATAGACTCAAACACTGCACGTAGACTCAACACTGCCCATAGCTCAATACTGCCCATAGACTCAACACTGCACGTAGACTCAACACTGCCCATAGACTCAACACTGCCCATAGACTCAACACTACCCATAGACTCAACACTGCCCATAGACTCAACACTGCCCATAGACTCAACACTACCCTAGACTAACACTGCACATAGACTCAACACTACCCATAGACTCAACACTGCCCATATGACTCAACACTGCACATAGACTCAACACTGCCCATAGACTCAAAACTGCCCATAGACTCACACTGCCCATAGACTCAACACTGCCCATAGACTCAAACTGCCCATAGACTCAAAACTGCCCATAGACTCACACTACCCTAGACTCACCACTGCACATAGACTCAACCACTGCCCATAGACTCAACACTGCCCATAGATCAACACTGCCCATAGACTCACACTGCCCATAGACTCAACACTGCCCATAGACTCAAAACTGCCCATAGACTCAACACTGCCCATAGACTCAACACTGCCCATAGACTCAAAACTGCCCATAGACTCAACACTACCCATAGACTCACCACTGCCCATAGACTCAAAACTGCCCATAGACTCACACTGCCCATAGACTCAACACTGCCCATAGACTCAACACTGCCCATAGACTCAACACTGCCCATAGACTCAAAACTGCCCATAGACTCAACACTGCCCATAGACTCACCACTGCCCATAGACTCAACACTGCCCATAGACTCAACACTGCCCATAGACTCAACACTGCCCATAGACTCAACACTGCCTATAGACTCAACACTGCCCACAGACTCAACACTGCCCATAGACTCAGCACTGCCCATAGACTCAACACTGCCCATAGACTCAACACTGCCCATAGACTCAACACTGCCCACAGACTCAACACTGCCCATAGACTCAGCACTGCCCATAGACTCAACACTGCCCATAGACTCAACACTGCACATCCGATTAGCACGGTTGGCTACGTACGGTGCGTAAGTTCATCATGCGCGTGCGTCTGGCTCAGCTGGGAGCTCACCTCCCCCCACGTACGCTTAGAAACCTCGAAGCCATTCAAACAGTGCCCCAGATTAAATACATCGATTAATATTCATATATCATTAAAATCACATAAATCAAAGTATTTTCTCTGGCAAATGTCAATGACATTCACCAAAATTTTAGAGTGCCGGCAACGGTGGCGGTGGCGGCGATAATAAAAATTGAATCAACACAAAACGACCGCGCGCATATTTGGTCGTGAAGTTTTGGCCGATGCCGGCGCTTGGCCGATGCCAGGCCCAGCGTTCGATTTATGGAGGAGAAGGGAGGGAGGGGGGATTCATCGGGACACAAATCCATGGTTTGCTCCGCACGTGTGTCAGAGATGGCAGAGGAAATTAGTTTAGCGGTGACGGAGAGAAGAGATATATTTTTTTATTTATATAGATTTTATATAATCACGTATATATAAAATAAATCAGGCTTTCATCTCCTTGGTTCTTTCGGGTAAAGTCACGTAGAAGGGAAATAATAAAATACTAAAACAAAATAAAATACAATTCTCACGACGTTTTCGGCCACAACGCAAGCAAGCCGTCCTCAGGTGAAGAACAGGTCTGTCGGGAAGACATTCAGACGCTGTCTTTCCGACAGACATGTTCTTTACTGCCCATAGACTCAACACTGCCCATAGACTCAACACTATCCATAGATTCAACACTGCCCATAGACTCACACTGCCCATAGATTCAACACTGCCCATAGACTCAACACTGCCCATAGACTCAACACTGCCCATAGATTTCGATTTAAAGCTTTCGTGACTGCAGGGATTCATCTTCTTGGTTCTTTCGGTAAAGTCACATAGAAGGGAAATAATAAATAATAAGAATTAAACATAATAAAATACAATTCTCACGACGTTTCGGCCACAACGCAAGCAGCCGTCCTCAGTGAAGAACAGGTCTGCCGACAATTCTCACGACGTTTCGGCGTTTTGTGGCCGAAACGTCGTGAGAATTGCATTTATTATGTTTCATTCTTATTATTTTATTATTCCCTTCCATGACTTTACCGAAAGAACCAACAAGATGAATCCCTGCAGTCACGAAAGCTTTAAATCTAAATTTAAAATCAGGCTCTTTGCTTAGACGGCCGTTTGTAATAAAAAGCTAGAATGTTGAACGTTGCATTGTCACCAGTAAGGTCCCACGAGTTGCTACGTTGCTCTTCTTCAGAAGCGAGCCTGTCCGTCACAAATGATTAGCGCCAACGAAGTGGTCTCATCGTCATCACCATCACCGTCGCGTGGAAATTAAATAGCGGTGGGGCAAATGCTCTCAACGCGTGGTGACGTTGGTTCTAAATGCTGAGGGTGAAAAACTGGAGGACCCAGAGAAAAACCCAAGCAGCCACCACGGAGAGAAACAGAGACACGTGAATTACACATATACAGCAGCAGGCGTCAGGTTTGGGATCGAACCCACGACCTCCTGTATACCAGGTAAAGTAGTTAAGATCTCATAGCCACCGTGATGATGATGAGAGGAGAACACCACAAATTCCAAATATACAGCAGCAAGCGTCAGGTCTGGATCGAATCCACGACCTCCTGTATACCAGGCGAGGTAGTTAACATCTCATAGCCACCGTGATGATGATAGAGAGAGAACACCACAAATTCTAAATATACAGCAGCAAGCGTTATAGTCAGGATCGAATCCACGACCTCCTGTACACCAGGCGAGGTAGTTAACATCTCCTAGCCACCGTGATGATAATGAGAGAGAGAAACACCACAAACTCCAAATCTACAGCAGCAGGCGTCAGGGTCGGGATGGAGCCCACGACCTCCTGTACACCAGGCGAGGTAGTTAACATCTCCTAGCCACCGTGATGATGATGAGAGAGAGAAACACCACAAACTCCAAATATACAGCAGCAGGCGTCAGGGTCGGGATGGAGCCCACAACCTCCTGTACACCAGGCGAGGTAGTTAACATCTCCTAGCCACCATGATGATGATGAGAGAGAAACACCACAAACTCCAAATATACAGCAGCAGGCGTCGTGGTCAGGATCGAACCCACGACCTCCTGTACACTAGGCAAGGTAGTTAACATCTCATAGCCACCGCGGTGCCCCAAATTACCTTTGCCCTTCTTGTCCCGGAGGGCCCTTTGGACCCATGGGTCCTGGGTAGCCCTGAAACATAAAAGCACAGAGACGTGATCATTTACCGTGAATGTATCTATATTTTTGGTTTAACTAAAAGTTATACGGCTGCTGATGTTGACGCAGAGCCAACAACGAAGATTTCACATTCCAGGTGGTCAGGCCGTCGGATAACCGCGTCAGGAGCCGGTTGCATCATCATCGTCGTCGTCATGATGTCTGCTTCGTATTGTGGATCGGGCATTGCCTCGTCGCGCGCTGTACGACGGTTCCGTTCTGGATGACCCACAGTCGCCACGCTACTAACCGGAGGCCTTTAAATTCCCCATTCGTGCGTCATCCGTGCGTCATCGGTATCTACTCGCCGCTGCCATGGTTTTGTGCAGTGGGTGGTTCTGTGGATGGGTTGTGGGACCATGAGCATCTCGTGGAAGATCAACCATCCGCCCCCTACTCTGGGCGCGGTCTTCCGACACCCTCCGCGGATGTTCGTCCCGCGACTTCTTCCGAAACGCCGGCTCCGGTAGCGACGGGCCGGGCGCGTCGAACCTGTGACGATGCCGGAGGAGTTGTGTTCGTCGGCGGTCAAGAGTTTGCCAAAGTTTTTTGTTGAATTCTAGATTTGAAGCTTTCGTGACTGCAAGGATTCATACTCTGTTAGCCCCGCCCCCCCCTCCCGATACGTTCCATTCATTGGCTACCACATTCTGATAAGCCCCTCCCCCCCTCCCCCCTTAACTGGTACTTAAGAGCTTACACCTTGAATCCCTCCCTCACTTGATGCAGCAAATCTGGCTGTGACGGTCCCACCTGATGACGGAGACTTGTGTTGCCTCCGAAACGTCGTGATTTTATTGTTTTATTTTTTGTTGAACCCAAAAAATGAAAAGTAATCACGTCGGCAAATGACTCGATCGGGACTCGCGCAACGGCGGCACTCACCTGCCCGCCGCTGGCAGACTAAAAGCCCGGCTCGCTGAAGAGTTGCCGGGCCACCTTTCGGACAGCTGCCACTGGGCGTGCCCCTTCAAAGGGAGCCACGGTGGCCAGGAGATGTTAACTACCTCGCCTGGCACGCAGGAGATTCGGTTCAGACTCACACTACCCATAAACTCAACACTGCCCATAAACTCAACACTGCCCATAGACTCAAAACTACCCATAGGTTCAACACTGCCCATAGACTCAACACTACCCATGGACTCAATACTACCCATAGACTCAACACTGCCCATAGACTCAACACTGCTCATAGACTCAACACTGCCCATAGACTCAACACTACCCATAGACTCAAACACTGCCCATAGACTCAACACTGCTCAGAGACTCAACACTGCCCATAGTCTCAACACTACCCATAGACTCAACACTGCCCATAGACTCAACACTGCTCATAGACTCAACACTACCCCCATAGAAGGGAAGTAATAAAATAATAAAAATAAAACATAATAAAACAATTCTCACGACGTTTCGGCTACAACGCAAGCAGCCGTCTTCAGGTGAAGAATGAGACACTACCAAACTAGGAGCTTATATATAAGCTGCATTGGGGGTTGAAGAGCGCCTTAACAAAAAGAATGTGCATGTGAAGAGGGATTTAGCATATTCATGGAAAATGCGTAGGCGTTGGGCGGGGGGGTGTCAAAGTCATATTATGCCCATGCATTATGCAGGATCAGCAGCAACCAAGGGGGGTGCAGGGATTAGCAGTAACAAAGGAAAGGAATGTTAATGATATGTAGCTGCAGTTACTCAACAACCACGTAGAAAACTAAAGTATAAACTACATAAAAAACTAAAGTATAAACTGCATCGCACCATCAGTATACTTACTATACTCTATAATAAGCTGAGTTACTAACAGCAAGTATACATTACAATTTTACCTCGTAAAAATTCTATAATATGCTTCCATCTAAACCTTATTCTCTTACATCACACGAGCATATACCGTACTATATACTGCCATAGATAAACCCAACATTAAATTATATACTGTATTGCTGTAACCAACCTATATCTATATACATTTAATATCACACTATGTATTATTCTACACACCCTAATGTGTATCGAAATGGTTTATTACGTCCTTCCAATGATTGCTGAGCCAGAATCCATCTTCTCGGTTAAAGTTGTCTCTGTGTTTGTATATGTGGATCGCCTCATGAACGAATCTCTCATGATAGCCAGATGGCTTGCAGAGAACCTCTGTCTTGGAGAAGTCAATATCATGTGAGCCCACTGAGTTGTAACAGTGATCTGCCACGGCTGATGTTAGTCCTACCGTGTTTCAGGTCAGCTTTATGTTCACGGATGCGGTCCGAGACATGTCGTTTGGTTTCCCCAATGTAACTGCTACCAGAGGCAACTTAGTTTGTAGACCCAGGGTACTGTATGTCTGGAACCACATCTTTTACAGACGGTACCAGATCACGGATTTTATGTACTGTGTTGAATCGGACCTGGATCTGTGTTTAATCAGGATTTTGGAGATCTTTTTTGTGACCCCAGCATGTAGGTAAGGTGATGGTCTTGAAAGGCTCCTCAACAGGATCCTTCTTGATGGTTGGAGTGATGGCTTTGCGGATTGTATAGTCGGAGTAACCATTTGCCTTAAGAGCTTGGCGTACGTGTTTGAGTTCACTGGAAATGTGTTCATGGTCGGAGATGCATTGGGCTCTATGATATAGAGTCTTGATGAGGGAATTCTTCTGAGATGGATGGTGGTGGGAATCCGTTTTTAGATAAGCATCCGTGGGTGGCTTCCTGTAGACAGAGTGGCTCTGTCTACAGGAAAGCCACCCACACGGATGCTTATCTAAAACCGGATTCCACCACCATCCATCTCAGAAGAATTCCCTCATCAAGACTCTATATCATAGAGCCCAATGCATCTCCGACCATGAACACATTTCCAGTGAACTCAAACACGTACGCCAAGCTCTTAAGGCAAATGGTTACTCCGACTATACAATCCGCAAAGCCATCCTCACTCCAACCATCAAGAAGGATCCTGTTGAGGAGCCTTTCAAGACCATCACCTTACCCTACATTGCTGGGTCACAAAAAAGATCTCCAAAATCCTGATTAAACACAAGATCCAGGTCCGATTCAACACAGTACATAAAATCCGTGATCTGGTACCGTCTGTAAAAGATGTGGTTCCAGACATACAGTACCCTGGCGTCTACAAACTAAGTTGCCTCTGTGGTAGCAGTTACATTGGGGGAAACCAAACGACATGTCTCGGACCGCATCCGTGAACATAAAGCTGACCTGAAACCCGGTAGGACTAACACCTCAGCCGTGGCAGATCACTGTTACAACTCAGTGGGCTCACATGATATTGACTTCTCCAAGACAGAGGTTCTCTGCAAGCCATCTGGCTATCATGAGAGATTCGTTCATGAGGCGATCCACATATACAAACACAGAGACAACTTTAACCGAGAAGATGGATTCTGGCTCAGCAATCATTGGAAGGACGTATAAACCATTTCGATACACATTAGGGTGTGTAGAATAATACATAGTGTGATATTAATGTATAAGATATAGGTTGGTTTACAGCAATACAGTATATAATTTAATGTTGGGTTTATCTATGGCAGTATATAGTACGGTATATGCTCGTGTGATGTAAGAGAATAAGTTTAGATGGAAGCATATTATAGAATTTTTACGAGGTAAAATTTTAATGTATTACTTGCTGTTAGTAACTCAGCTTATTATAGAGTATAGTAAGTATACTGATGGTGCGATGCAGTTTATACTTTAGTTTTTTTATGTAGTTTATACTTTAGTTTTCTACGTGGTTGTTGAGTAACTGCAGCTACATATCATTAACATTCCTTTCCTTTGTTACTGCTAATCCCTGCACCCCCCTTGGTTGCTGCTGATCCTGCATAATGCATGGGCATAATATGACTTTGACACCCCCCCGCCCAACGCCTACGCATTTTCCATGAATATGCTAAATCCCTCTTCACATGCACATTCTTTTTGTTAAGGCGCTCTTCAACCCCAATGCAGCTTATATATAAGCTCCTAGTTTGGTAGTGTCTCATTCTCACCTGAAGACGGCTGCTTGCGTTGTAGCCGAAACGTCGTGAGAATTGTTTTATTATGTTTATTTTTATTATTTATTACTTCCCTTCTACGTGACTTTACCGGAAAGAAACAAGAAGATGAATCCCTGCAGTCACGAAAGCTTTAAATCGAAATAAAACTACCCATAGACTCAACACTGCCCAAGACTCAACACTACCCATAGACTCTGCCCATAGACTCAACACTGCTCATAGACTCAACACTACCCATAGACTCAACACTACCCATAGACTCAACACTACCCATAGACTCAACACTGCCCATAGACTCAACACTGCTCATAGACTCAACACTGCCCACAGACTCAACACTGCCCATAGACTCACACTACCCATAGACTCAACACTACCCATAGACTCAACACTGTCCAGACTCAATACTGCCATAGACTCAACACTACCCATAGACCAGCACTGCCCATAGACTCAACACTACCCATAGACTCAACACTGCCCATAGACCAACACTACCCATAGACTCAACACTACCCATAGACTCAACACTACCATAGACTCAACACTACCCACAGACTCAACACTGCCATAGACTCAACACTACCCATAGACTCAGCACTGCCCATAGACTCAACACTACCCATAGACTCAACACTACCCATATACTCAGCACTGCCCATAGACTCAACACTACCCATAGACTCAACACTACCATAGACTCAGCACTGCCATAGACTCAACACTACCCATAGACTCAACACTACCCATAGACTCAACACTGCCATAGACTCAACACTGCCCCATGACTCAAACTGCCCATAGACCAACACTGCCCTAGACTCAACACTACCCATAGACTAACACTGCCCATAGACTCAAACACTGCCCATAGACTCAACACTGCCCATAGACTCAACACTACCCACAGACTCACACTGCCCATAGACTCAACACTACCCATAGACTCAACACTTGCCCATAGACTCAACACTGCCCATGAGACTCAAACACTGCCCCATTAACTCAACACTGCCATAGACTCAACACTGCCCATAGACTCAACACTACCCAATAGAATCAACACTGCCCAGAGACTCAACACTGCCCATAGGACTCAACACTGCCATAGACTCAACACGTCCAGACTCAACACTGCCCATAGACTCAACACTGCCCATAGACTCAACACTGCACATAGACTCAACACTGTCCAGGACTCAACACTGCCCATAGACTCACCACTGCCCATAGACTCAACACTGCCCATAGACTCAACAACTGTCCAGACTCAACATGCCCATAGACTCAACACTGCCCATAGACTCAACACTACCCATAGACTCAACACTGTCCAGACTCAACACTGCCATAGACTCAACACTGCCATAGACTCAACACTGACCCATAGACTCAACACTGCCCATAGACTCAACACTGCCCATAGACTCAACACTGCCCATAGACTCAACATGCCCATAGACTCAACACTGCCCATAGACTCAACACTGCCCATAGACTCAACACTGCCCACAGACTTTGCAGACGTAAAGTTGCCAGCGTAAGGGAGGGCAGCTCCGTCGACACAACTCATCAACGTCGTCACTTCTGCTCCGACATTCACGTGGCGAGTGTAGTTCACGGTCCGAGCCCCGGGTGCAAGGGGTTGACGGGACACTCACCTTCTTTCCTGGGGGGCCCCTAGGGGCCTCCATGCCCGGGTCACCGGTGAGTCCCTGGGGTGAGAGAGAGCCGGGTGAACCAACGACCATGGGTGCGGATCGCACGGACCGCACGTTGGCGCCGGACATCAACGGCGTCGTCAGCCGGGGAGTCGTTCTTGCGGAGAATTCAGCGGCGATTAACGAGTGGACGCCTACCACCGCCCCGTAATTTTGTGGCTCTCCACGTGGCTAAATTTCTTGGTCGGTTTGAAACACGTCCCATCGACCGCACGTCCTTCTGGGGCGAGTGCGTCTCATCAGCGTCGATTCGTTCGATGGGCAGCGAGTAAATTGACACTCGTCAACTGGTCGAAAAATCAGTAATGTTTAAAACAAATTTAACACGCTTTTATGAAATGTACTAGTAATGTAAGAAATCCACGACTCCACGAAGTGGCCCCCGAAGCTTGACATAACGTAAGGAGACCGTGGCCAATCACAGCCAACGTCAGTTGACCGTGGGCAATTAGACCCAAGCCGAAACATAACATCTAAAAAATAATGTTTAAAAAAATATATATTTTTTATGATAGAATATAGTATTGTCGTCAGTATGACATCAGTATACCAAGTTGCAGCCGATACCACATTGGGAAGTGAGTTAAAATTTAGTTACAAAATTTGAGGATACAACAAACGACGACAACAACAACAGACAGAGTGAGTTGAATAAAAAGCGTGTAAAAAAACACTTGAATATATAGAGGACAGCAGAGCTCGGTGCCGGTTTATCACTGGGCAGCTGGCTTCCCATTGTCTTTGATTCTTGAGTCGTCTCTCTACGAGGTGTGAGTGAATAACGGTGTTCCCGCGTTATTCACGAAATAGCTACACTGCCCGTAGACTCAACACTGCCCATAGACTCAACACTACCCATAGACTCAACACTGCCCATAGACTCAACACTACCCATAGAACTCAACACTACCCATAGACTCAACACTGCACCTAGACTCAACACTGCCCATTAGACTCAACACTGCCCATAGGACTCAACACTACCCATAGACTCAACACTACCCAATAGACCTCAACACTACCCATAGACTCAACACTGCCCATAGACTCAACACTACCCATAGACTCAACACTGCCCATAGACTCAACACTGCCATAGACTCACACTGCCCATAGACTCAACACTGCCCATAGACTCAACACTACCCACAGACTCAACACTGCCCATAGACCTCAACACTGCCCATAGACTCAACTACCCATAGACTCCACACTTGCCCAAGAACTCAACACTGCCCATAGACTCAACACTTGCCCTAGACTCAACACTGCCCATAGACGCAACACTGCCCATAGACTCAACACTGCCCATAGACTCAACACTGACCCTAGACTCAACACTGCCCATAGACTCAACACTGCCCTAGACTCAACACTGCCCATAGACCTCACACTGCCCATAGACTCAACACTGCCCATAGACTCAACACTGCCCATAACTCAACACTGCCCATAGACTCAACAACTACCCATAGACACACTACCCATAGACTCAACACTGCCCATAGACTCAACACTACCCATAGACTCAACACTGCCCATAGACTCAACACTACCCATAGACTCAACACTGCCCATAGACTCAACACTACCCATAGACTCAACACTGCCCATAGACTCAACACTACCCATAGACTCAACACTACCCATAGACTCAACACTACCCATAGACTCAACACTGCCCGTAGACTCAACACTACCCGTAGACTCAACACTACCCATAGACTCAACACTGCCCGTAGACTCAACACTGCCCATAGAATCAACACTGCCCATAGACTCAACACTGCCCATAGACTCAACACTACCCATAGACTCACACTGCCCAGACTCAACACTGCCCATAGACTCAACACTACCCATAGACTCAACACTGCCCATAGACTCAACACTACCCATAGACTCAACACTGCCCATAGACTCAACACTACCCATAGACTCAACACTACCCATAGACTCAACACTACCCATAGACTCAACACTGCCCATAGACTCAACACTACCCATAGACTCAACACTACCCATAAACTCAACACTACCCATACTCAACACTGCCCATAAACTCAACACTACCCATAGACTCAACACTACCCATAGACTCAACACTGCCCATATACTCAACACTGCCCATAGACTCAACACTACCCATAGACTCAACACTGCCCATAGACTCAACACTGCCCATAGACTCAACACTGCCCATAGACTCAACACTGCCCATAGACTCACACTACCCATAGACTCACACTGCCCATAGACTCAACACTACCCATAGACTCAACACTACCCATAGACTAACACTACCCATAGACTCAACACTGACCATAGACTCAACACTGCCCATAGACTCAACACTACCCATAGACTCAAAACTACCCATACACTCAACACTGCCCATAGACTCAACACTACCCATAGACTCAACACTGCCCATAGACTCAACACTACCCATAGACTCAACACTGCCCATAGACTCAACACTGCCCATAGACTCAACACTACCCATAGACTCAACACTACCCATAGACTCAACACTGCCCATAGACTCAACACTACCCATAGACTCAACACTACCATAGACTCAACACTACCCATAGACTCAACACTGCCCATAGACTCAACACTGCCCATAGACTCAACACTACCCATAGACTCAACACTGCCCATAGACTCAACACTACCCATAGACTCAACACTGCCCATAGACTCACACTGCCCATAGACTCAACACTACCCATAGACTCAACACTGCCCATAGACTCAACACTACCATAGACTCAACACTACCCATAACTCAACACTGCCCATAGACTCAACACTGCCCATAGACTCAACACTACCCATAGACTCAACACTGCCCATAGACTCAACACTACCCATATACTCACACTGCCCATAGACTCACACTGCCCATAGACTCAACACTACCCATAGACTCAACACTGCCCATAGACTCACACTACCCATAGACTCAAACTACCCATAGACAACACTGCCCATAGACTCACACTGCCCATAGACTCAACACTACCCATAGACTCAACACTGCCCATAGACTCACACTGCCCATAGACTCAAACTACCCATAGACTCAACACTGCCCATAGACTCAACACTACCCATAGACTCAACACTGCCCATAGACACTCAACACTGCCCATAGACTCAACACTACCCATAGACTCAACACTACCCATAGACTCAACACTGCCCATAGACTCAACACTGCCCATAGACTCAACACTACCCATAGACTCAACACTGCCCTAGACTCAACACTGCCCATAGACTCAACACTACCCATAGACTCAACACTGCCCAAGACTCAACACTGCCCATAGACTCAACACTGCCCATAGACTCAACACTACCCATAGACTCAACACTGCCATAGACTCACACTGCCCACAGACTCAACACTGCCCATAGACTCAACACTACCCATAGACTCAAACACTACCCATAGACTCAACACTGCCCATAGACTCAACACTGCCCAGACTCAAACTGCCCACAGACTCAACACTGCCCATACTCAACACTGCCCTAGACTCAAACTGCCCACAGACTCAACACTGCCCATAGACTCAACACTGCCCATAGACTCAAACTGCCACAGACTCAACACTGCCCATAGACTCAAAACTGCCCAGACTCACACTACCCATAGACTCAACACTACCATAGACTCAACACTACCCATAGACTCAACACTGCCCAGACTCAACACTGCCCATAGACTCAACACTACCCATAGACTCAACACTGCCCATACTCAACACTGCAACAACTGCCCATAGACTCAACACTGCCCATAGACTAAACACTACCCATAGACTCAACACTGCCCATACACTCAACACTGCCCACAGACTCAACACTGCCCATAGACTCAACACTACCCATAGACTCAACACTGCCCATAGACTCAACACTGCCCATAGACTCAACACTACCCATAGACTCAACACTGCCCATAGACTCAACACTGCCCATAGACTCAACACTACCCATAGACTCAACACTGCCATAGACTCAACACTACCCATAGACTCAACACTACCCATAGACTCAAACCTACCCATAGACTCAACACTGCCCTAGACTCAGCACTGCCCATAGACTCAACACTACCCATAGACTCAACACTGCCCATAGACTCAACACTACCCATAGACTCAAAACTACCCATACACTCAACACTGCCCATAGACTCAACACTGCCCATAGACTCAACACTACCCATAGACTCAACACTGCCCATAGACTAAACACTACCCATATACTCAACACTGCCCATAGACTCAGCACTGCCCATAGACTCAACACTACCCATAGACTCAACACTGCCCATAGACTCAACACTACCCATAGACTCAAAACTACCCATACACTCAACACTGCCCATAGACTCACACTGCCCATAGACTCAACACTGCCCATAGACTCAACTACCCATAGACTCAACACTGCCCATAGACTCAACACTACCCATAGACTCAACACTGCCCATAGACTCAACACTGCCCATAGACTCAACACTACCCATAGACTCAACACTGCCCATAGACCCAACACTGGCCATAGACTCAACACTGCCCATAGACTCAACACTACCCATAGACTCAACACTACCCATACACTCAACACTGCCCATAGACTCAACACTACCCATAGACTCAACACTGTCCATAGACTAACAGCACGACACGTGCGATGTTGCTCACCATCAAGCCTGGTGGACCGGGCACGCCAGGATTACCGTGAGGTCCACGCAGTCCCTTGGGAATGATAAACACAAACAAGCAGACAGTGACATCTCATTCACCCACAGCAAGACGGGTTTGTTGTTGTTGTTGTTGATCACCACGTGAATAACCCAACCAGTTAAAGGATGTCATGTATTCTAGATTTGAAGCTTTCGTGACTGCAAGGATTCATATTCTTAGGTTTTTTCGGTAAAGTCACGTAGGTAAAAAATTGTGCCTTAACTTGGCCCTTCCCCCCTCAACCATTATATAAACGGAGTGGTAGCTCTTGTAATCTCTCATTTACTTGATACAGCTATCGTGGCTGTGACGGTTCCACCTGAAGACGGAAGCTTGTGTTGCCTCCGTAACGTCGTGATTTTTTATTTATTTTACTTTAATTAATTTTAATTTTAATTTTTACCTACGTGACTTTACCGAAAAAACCGAAGAATATGCCCATTGTAATTTATGTGCATACATCACCCCCCCCCCCCTCCTCCGCAGCCTCTGGCCTACACCCCTGATTGGCTTACAAGTAATGACATCACAACTCCGTGGCTGTCACCTGATGCTGCTGGTTGTTGCTGTTGTTGTTGTTGTCGTAATCGCCGGTGAAACGTCGCGGCTACTCGAATTGTGAATGTTGTCGTGGGCTTTACTCTCCAGCTCACCACCCGTGGGGTGCTGCACTAGCGACGAATTGGCCACGTTTCGCTTACGTGACACAACCTTCATAATTGGCTGTGTCGGGTGGTGGCGGGTTTAACTACACAACCTTTATATTCACTGAATCTTACCACAAAAACCTCCATTATGGATAATATTGGTTGCGAAAGCAACCTCCTACTACTACTTGTTAAACAGATCTCATTCAGATTGCAAGGCAGGCCTCCATCTCCCCTCATCTCAATTCACAGCTGATGTTTGTTGTTGGGTAACTATTCATGGATCGCCTAGGCTTCTAGGAGATGTTGATTACCTCGCCTGGTACACAGGAGGTCGTGGATTCAATCCCGACCCTGACGCCTGCTGTATATTTGGAGTTTGCGTGTCTCTCTCTCATTATCATCACGGTGGCTAGGAGATGTTAACTACCACGCCTGGTGTGCAGGAGGTCGTGGGTTCGATCTCCACCCTGACGCCTGCTGCTGTATATTTGGAGTTTGCGTGTCGCTCTCTCTCCTCGTGGTGGGCGCGTGGATTTTTCTCCGGGTCCTCCCGGTTCTTCCTTTGCACATTTAGAGAATGGACGTCACGCGTTCAGGATAATTTGGCTGCCGCTTGAAGTTTCCACGACGGGCCGCTTTTCTTGTGCTGCCGTAGGTGACGGCGAGGTCGCTTCCGAAAAAAGAAAGCTTCGTAGCTCAGTGGGGCCTTACCCGGTAAAAAATAATAATATATTTGTTGAATAGTGAAGTGGCCAAGTTTATGCCGTCAAGAGCCTCCACCCACCCACCCGGCACGGCCAGACCCGAATGGTCATCGTTGCTGTGGCCCAACGAGCTGCGAGCAGACGGATCTCTTCATGCGTCCAGCAAAAAAAAAACCGCCCCGCGTTTCTGGACGCAGTCACCGGCGATCACGTCCGGCCTACGCGAATTGTTAATGTTGTGGTGGGATTTACTCTCCGACGCGCAGCCGGTGTATGGCCCGAGTAGTTACCAATTGGCACGTTTTGCGTAAGCGACACAAACCTACCGGCTGGCTGCGTCGGGCGGTGGCGGCGGGCTAACGACTCAGCCTTTAGACTTGCGCGGCCGAACGCAAAGAAAACTTGACCACGTGAGCTAAACGTTCTCACGTTCACGCGCGGAAGCGGATATGACAGAGCTACCTCTGAGATCCCTTCTTCTCCTTCTTCAAGTGACACTCTGGTGCACACAGAAAGGCCCGTGGAAGCGGATATACCAGAGAGCTACCTCTGAGAGCCCAGTGGACAAGGGGGAGGGTAGGCAGGGGGGAGGGTGGCCCACATCTAGCAGGCGGGCAACTTACGTTGGGTCCTCTCATTCCCTGCACTCCGCGTTGGCCAGTGGGCCCAGGCGGTCCCTGCACACAACCCCACATTCCGGCGTTGGCGTTAAAACGCGGGCAAAGGAGCGGGTTCGCGACCGCCCGCATAGGCCCGCTGCTGGTGGAGAGGGGGGCCTTCCGCTAGGGCGAGCGCTGGAGAGACAGAGAGATAGAGAGACAGAAAGAGACAGAGAGAGACAGAGAGAGAGAGAAACAGAGGGAGAGAGACAGAGAGAGAGAGCGACAGAGACAGAGGGACAGAGAGACAACGAGAGAGATACAAAGAGAGAGACAAAGAGAGACACACAGAGAGAGATAAAGACAGAGAGAGAGAAAGAGAGACAGAGAGAGACAGAGAGAGACAGAGAGACAGAGACAGAGAGAGAGAGCAGGAGAGACAGCGAGAGAGAGACAGAGACATAGACAGAGAGACAGAGAGAGAGAGATAGAGAGAGAGCGAGAGAGAGACAGCGAGAGAGAGACAGCGAGAGACAGAGAAACAGAGACAGAGATAGAGAGACAGACAGCGAGAGAGAGACATAGACACAGAGACAGTGGTATTTGGCTGACCGGTACGTCTTGGAAGAAGAAGTTGTATTTGTGTGAGTATACGCTGAACTTCTTTTGCACCCTACGGAGCCAACCGCGTTTAGCGGAGGTCCGGGGGGGGGGGGGGGGGGGAAGGACAACCAACTAAACACAAGAAGCAGTTCTAAACAAATGAGTTTGTCAATGTAAACGACGATGATTTAAAAGTTGCATAGCTAGTAGTGGCTTCCTAATATCGGAAGGCAAGAACGTTCCAGACGGCCGCAGAAGCGCATCTGAAAGCGCCACGCGACGGCCGAGACGGAAGCCGCCACCGCCGCTGCGAGCGTCAGTGGAGTGTCGAGTGACGATGCTTCGTAGCCCCTCAACGAGATCAGCCAAAGTATTGTGGTTCATTTGTGGCAATAATTTCGTGTGAAATAACAATAATGATCTTTCTTCTTGGTTCTTTCGCTAAAGTCACGTAGAATGGAAATAATAAAATAATAAAATAAAACATAATAAAATAATTCTTACGACGTTTCGGCCACAACGCAAGCAGCCGTCCTCAGGTGATGACCAGGTCTGTCGGGGAGACTTTACCGAAAGAACCAAGAAGATGAATCCCTGCAGTCACGAAAGCTTTAAATCGAAAAATAATGATCTTGATAATTGGCTTTTTACCCTTCTATCTGGCAACAAAACTGACACCTTTTTTTACAAGGAGTCATGTTTGCATAGACCACAATACCTGGAGCCATAATGCAAACAAAAAACATAACTCTGACAATATATGCACTTATAATATATGCACTTATCAGAGATGATGACGACGATGACGACGATGATGATGATGACGACGATGATGACAACGATGACGACGACGATGACGACGATGATGACGGTGATGACGACGATGATGATGACGATGATGATGACGTGGGCGGTGTTCTCACTCTGTTTGGCCTACAGTGGCCTTGCGATGAAGAACGCCGCTCTAGATTGAGCTCTCAATGGCTCCCTCTAGTTGAGGCCCTTTGCGGTAGCACTCTGGTCCACACAGAATGGCCCAACGAAGCAGATGTCACAGAACTACCTCTGAGCGGCGTGAGCAAGCTGTTGCAGCGCTGCGCCTTCACCATGATGACTGCGCTACCGCTCCCTGATCACGCAAGTACAAAGATCCCCCGTTTAGGCCTTCAACGGACTGTTGGGGCGCACCTATGAAGGCCGGAACGACACACGAGGGGGTGGGTGGCCAGCGCCACGCCCGGCCACCTTTGTCTCCCTCATGGCCCATTTACACACCGCGCCGAATACTCAATTAAGGCTGAGTCGACCTAGGGGAGGCCCAGGACCGGCTCAGATAATCGTCATCGGGGTTGGTGGCCGTGAGCGGGAATCGAACTCGGGTCCGCCTTGGGTTCGTAGCGTAGCGTAGCGCTAACCGCTACACTGCCGCGTGCAACAACAAAAAACAAAGATCCCCCTTATAGCCTGAACAGGCTGTTGGTGCAAGTGCTGTTAACGAGCACTCGCGTGCACAAAGACAAAGATCCCCCGTATAGCCTGAACAGGCTATTGGGGCAAGTGCTGTCAGCGAGCACTAGCGTGCACAAAGACAAAGATCCCCCGTATAGCCTGAACAGACTGTTGGGGCAAGTGCTGTTAGCGAGCACTCGCGTGCACAAAGATAAAGATCCCCCGTATAACCTGAACAGGCTATTGGTGCAAGTGCTGTTAGCGAGCACTCGCGCGCACACACAGATGCACGCACGCCACTCACAGGAGGCCCAGGGTCTCCACGGGGGCCTTGGAGCCCCTCCAAGCCACGCAGCAGCACCATGGCGTCGGTGGCGTCATGGCCCAACGAGTAGCCGTCACCGCCCAGCATCGTCTCGACGCTGGGGGGGGGCGTCTCGATCTGCGTCGCGTTGCCGAAATCCGCCGGGCTCCTCGTGACCGTCGCGCCGCTCGCCCCGCCGCCCAGGATCTCTAGGCCGCCGTCACCCGCACCGATGGCGTCTCCCGGCGGGCCGTCCGCCCGCCCTTCCGAAGCGCCTTCTGCTTCATGTCGCGTCTCCGGTGGACTCGCGGATGTACCGCTTCTCCCGCGGGTGGCGCCCGGGCGAAGCGAGCTCGACACTTCGGGCCTGGGACTTTGGGGCGTCGTTGGAGCCGCCGGTTCGTTGATTTCCTCAACTGTCACCACTGCCGTCGACGCCACCGCCGTAGTACCCCGACTGGTGGATATTAAACGGCCGACCGCTTTCTCCGAAGGAGCGGTCGGCTTTGTGATCGTTGATGACGACGACTGCGGGACCTTGTCAGCCTTCTTCGGCGTGCCGTCGCCGCCGCCGCCACCGCTCGAAGAAGCCGCCGGCTCCTTCTTCGCCGAGGCCGTAGGCTTCTGCGAGGCCTGGTTCTCGCTCGCCGTTGTCGGAGCCCGCTTGGCCGCCGCCGCCGGGGGCGCGCGTCCCCACCGCCTCCCACCTTCCGCCGCGTGCCGCGGGGGCGCCGTCGCCCGGGGAGCGGCCGCCCCCCGGGCCTCCGTTCCGTTGGCGTCTGCGGCGAAGCCTTCGCCGGGCTGCCGCTCGCCCGGCATCGGCGGCGAGAGCGATGCGATTCCGCCGCCGTCGTCGCCGGCGTCGCCTCGGCACTCCTCGCGAACGACGGCGCAGTAGTCGGCGGCCACGTTGGCCGAGGGGAAGAGGTCGAGCTGGCAAACGAGGCCCTCGAAGGGCACCGCGCGGCGGGACAGCCTTCCGAGCCTGAACAGGGCCTCGGGCCCGACGGCGGGCCTAGTGGCCGCGCTGACGCTCCTCCGCAGGAACTGGCGGCCGCACCCGGTGTAGAGCGTCACGCTCCGCTCCGTCACGGCCAAGGCGACGCTGTGCGGCCTCGGCTCGTGCAGGTTTACGCCGAAGTGCAGCGGCTTCCCGTTGGACAGGTGGACCGCCACCTTCCGCGGCAGGAGCTGCAGGCCGAAGAGGAGCGCGGGGGCCTCAGCGGTGAGAGCCTCCCCCGCCCCGCCCGTCGGCGCGGTGACACTGAGGAGGAACGCGTGGCTCGGCCGCAGGGGGCGGACGCTCAGGACGATGGAGAAATTTCCAGCGAAAAAATCTGGCGGAACGACGTCGGAGACCTTGGCCTCCACCTGGGATTTCCTGGTGAGCATGACGCCGGGCGGTGCTAGCGCGGCGCCGTGAGGTGTCACCGGCTTGGCGGGTGGCAACATCGCCGTCGCCAGCGTGATGTTGGGCGTCAAGCCTAGCCTTTGGAGAACGTCCACATCTGCGGAAGAAAAGAAATGCATTTTTTTCGATTTAAAGCTTTCGTGACTGCAGGGAATCATCTTCTTGGTTCTTTCGGTAAAGTCACGTAGAATGTAAATAATAAAATAATAAAAATAAAACATAGTAAAAAAATTCTCACGACGTTTCGGCCACAACGCAAGCAGCCATCCTCAGGTGAAGAACAGGTCTGTCGAGAAGACAGAAGACAGAAATGGAATGCATTCAGACTCTGTCTTCTCGACAGACCTGTTCTTCACCTGAGGACGGCTGCTTGCGTTGTGGCCGAAAGGTCGTGAGAATTATTTTATTATGTTTTATTTTTATTATTTTATTCTTTCCATTCTACGTGACTTTTACCGAAAAAACCAACAAGATGAAAATAAATGCATTTAAGTGAAAAAAGAATCCATTAAAATATATTTTTTTACATCAACGTGCCGCATAACTGTTACTCTAAGGCGGTCGAGAGAGTGGAGAAACTCGCGGTGAGCGCGCTTCGGCCATCGAAATAAAAATCTTCATTTAGACCGGCGGAGGGGGAGGAATCCGATAAGCCGCGAAGCTCTTTGTTCGCAGGTTTCCGGCACAGGCACGGGGTCAGCGAGGTGCATCGGCGAAAGTGGTCATGTGCCCATACCGTTAAGCGATTACATTGCACGATACAACGGGTATACGTGCGTCTCATCCTCGACTGCGGTGCGGATGGTTAATTTTCGCTCTGCATCCACTAAGAGTTGCACCATTCAACTCGGACCCACGTCTATGAATATGTCCACCCAGAACTGGTGTCAAGCTGATTCGCACACCGGATGTTGAACACCGATTCACGGCTTTGCCGATGAGATGCGCTCCTAGGAGGCCGTGGCGATGCTGGGATGTGTACAAAAACATACTTTTATCAGACTATTTATTGACACTGCAGGAGGAATCTCATGCTATGTAAAGCTATTTTTGTTCATAGATGTACAGTAGGGGGCAGTTACGACGACAAACAGTATAAACATCATGATAGTACCGCAAAGTACAAGAATATTTTACGTGGAGGGACAAACGTGGCAAGGAGATGCATTGATTATAACCCTTTCCCATTCCGTATGTGAACGTCATCAGTCTTTCTTTCGATTCCGTTCCAATGACGTACGTGTACGTGTTAGTGTATGGGTAGTGTTAGTGATGACGTACGTGTTAGTCTATGGGTAGTGTTAGTCTATGGGTAGTGTTAGTGATGACGTACGTGTTAGTGTTAGTCTATGGGCAGTGTTAGTGATGACGTACGTGTTAGTGTTAGTCTATGGGCAGTGTTAGTGATGACGTACGTGTTAGTGTATGGGTAGTGTTAGTGATGACGTACGTGTTAGTGTTAGTGTATGGGTAGTGTTAGTGATGACGTACGTGTTAGTGTTAGTGTATGGGTAGTGTTAGTGATGACGTACGTGTTAGTGTTAGTGTATGGGTAGTGTTAGTGATGACGTACGTGTTAGTGTATGGGTAGTCTTCTTGGTTCTTTCGGTAAAGTCACGTAGAAGGGAAGTAATAAAATAATAAAAATAAAACATAACAAAATAAAATAATTCTCACGACGTTTCGGCTACAACGCAAGCAGCCGTCTTCAGGTGAAGAATGAGACAATGCCAAGCTAGGAGCTTATATATAAGCTGCGTTGGAGGTGGAAGAAAGAGCGCCTTAACAAAAGAATGTGCATATGAAGAAGAATTTAGCATATTCATGGAAAAATGCGATGGAGGTGGGCGGGGGGGTTTCAAAGTCATATTATGCCCATGCATTATGCAGGATCAACAGCACCAAGGGGGGGGGGGGGTGCAGGGATTAGCAGTAACAAAGGAAAGGAATGTTAATGATATGTAGCTGCAGTTAGTTGATGTGGTCGAGAAATTGTTTTAGAGCAGCACGGCCATGTGGCCAATTGCTCTAGACCAATTTCTCGACCACATCAACTCCATACACCCAGCCATCAGATTCACCATGGAAGTCGAAAAAGATGGCAAGCTACCCTTTTTGGATGTCCTAATCAAAAGGAGACCTGATGGTTCAGTGAGCCACTCTGTCTACAGGAAAGCCACCCATACGGATGCTTATCTAAAACCGGATTCCCACCACCATCCATCCCAGAAGAATTCCCTCATCAAGACTCTATATCATAGAGCCCAATGCATCTCCGACCATGAACACATTGCCAGTGAACTCAAACACGTACGCCAAGCTCTTAAGGCTAATGGTTACTCCGACTACACAATCCGCAAAGCCATCACTCCAACCATCAAGAAGGATCCTGTTGAGGAGCCTTTCAAGACCATCACCTTACCCTACATTGCTGGGGTCACAAAAAAGATCTCCAAAATCCTGATTAAACACAAGATCCAGGTCCGATTCAACACAGTACATAAAATCCGTGATCTGGTACCGTCTGTAAAAGATGTGGTTCCAGACATACAGTACCCTGGCGTCTACAAACTAAGTTGCCTCTGTGGTAGCAGTTACATTGGGGAAACCAAACGACATGTCTCGGACCGCATCCGTGAACATAAAGCAGACCTGAAACACAGTAGGACAAACACCTCAGCCGTGGCAGATCACTGTTACAACTCAGTGGGCTCACATGATATTGACTTCTCCAAGACAGAGGTTCTCTGCAAGCCATCTGGCTATCATGAGAGATTCGTTCATGAGGCGATCCACATACACAAACGCAGAGACAATTTTAACCGAGAAGATGGATTCTGGCTTAGCAATCATTGGAAGGACGTAATAAACCATTTCGACACACATTAGGGTGGGTAGAATAATACATAGTGTTATATTAAATGTCTAAAATATAGGTTGGTTTACAGCAATACAGTATATAATTTAATGTTGGCAGTATATAGTACGGTATATGCTCGTGTGATGCAATAGAATAAAGTTTAGATGGAAGCATATTATATAATTTTTACGACGTAGAATTGTAATGTATTACTTGCTGTTAGTAACTCAGCTTATTATAGAGTATAGTAAGTATACTGATGGTGCGATGCAGTTTATACTTTAGTTTTTTATGTAGTTTATACTTTAGTTTTCTACGTGGTTGTTGAGTAACTGCAGCTACATATCATTAACATTCCTTTCCTTTGTTACTGCTAATCCCTGCACCCCCCCCCCCCCTTGGTGCTGTTGATCCTGCATAATGCATGGGCATAATATGACTTTGAAACCCTCCCGCCCACCTCCTACGCATTTTTCCATGAATATGCTAAATTCCTCTTCATATGCACATTCTTTTGTTAAGGCGTTCTTTCTTCCACCTCCAACGCAGCTTATATATAAGCTCCTAGCTTGGCATTGTCTCATTCTTCACCTGAAGACGGCTGCTTGCGTTGTAGCCGAAACGTCGTGAGAATTATTTTATTTTATTATGTTTTATTTTTATTATTTTATTACTTCCCTTCTACGTGACTTTACCGAAAGAACCAAGAAGATGAATCCCTGCAGTCACGAAAGCTTTAAATCGAAATGTATGGGTAGTGTTAGTGATGACGTACGTGTTAGTGTTAGTCTATGGGTAGTGTTAGTGATGACGTACGTGTTAGTGTATGGGTAGTGTTAGTGGTGACGTACGTGTTAGTGTTAGTGTATGGGTAGTGTTAGTGATGACGTACGTGTTAGTGTTAGTGTATGGGTAGTGTTAGTGATGACGTACGTGTTAGTGTTAGTCTATGGGTAGTGTTAGTCTATGGGTAGTGTTAGTGATGACGTACGTGTTAGTATTAGTCTATGGGTAGTGTTAGTGATGACGTACGTGTTAGTGTTAGTCTATGGGTAGTGTTAGTCTATGGGTAGTGTTAGTCTATGGGTAGTGTTAGTGATGACGTACGTGTTAGTGTTAGTCTATGGGCAGTGTTAGTGATGACGTACGTGTTAGTGTTAGTCTATGGGTAGTGTTAGTGGTGACGTACGTGTTAGTGTATGGGTAGTGTTAGTGGTGACGTACGTGTTAGTGTTAGTCTATGGGTAGTGTTAGTGGTGACGTACGTGTTAGTGTTAGTCTATGGGTAGTGTTAGTGGTGACGTACGTGTTAGTCTATGGGCAGTGTTAGTGATGACGTACGTGTTAGTGTTAGTCTATGGGTAGTGTTAGTGGTGACGTACGTGTTAGTGTATGGGTAGTGTCAGTGATGACGTACGTGTTAGTGTATGGGTAGTGTCATTGATGACGTACGTCTCCGTAGGTGTACGTGTTAGTCTATGGGTAGTGTCAGTGATGACGTACGTGTACGTTAGTCTATGGGTAATCTCAGTGCTGATGTCACGTGTCATTCTATGGGTATATGACGTCACGAAGCTCTGCCCCCCCCCCCCAAAATAAAACACGCTTCAAATCGCTTTAAACTATTGTCATTGTAGTGCATATTTAATGTGGCGCTGCACTCTGATGTTGTAGGAGAAAACATTTATTACAAAGTCTATTTAATTAAGTAGAACGTGTTGTCTATATTTATTTTAAGTTGCGCATTTTTGATGTGACGTCACATTTCTCACCCTCTCCCCCCCTCGTCACACATCGTCACAAATGTCTGACCCCCACAGCCCCCCCCCCTAGGTGCGTGACGTCATTCCCTGTCCTCGCTTAACGGCCGGCGTCCTGGAGGCAAACGCAAAGTGGTTGCCGCTGTCAGTCGAGACGAGAAGACGACACGTGACTCGAGGCCAAGGCAGCGACGTCTCCAGGGCACACGGCATCAGCCCCCAGCCCCAGCCCCAGCCCCCAGCCCCAGCCCCCAGCCCCCACCCCCAGCCCCCAGCCCCAGCCCCCACCCCCAGCCCCAGCCCCCAGCCCCAGCCCCCAGCCCCCAGCCCCCAGCCCCCAGCCCCCAGCCCCAGCCCCCAGCCCCCACCCCCAGCCCCCACACCAAGCCCCCACCCTCAGCCCCCACCCCTAGCCCCAGCCCCCAGCCCCAGCCCCCAGCCCCCAGCCCCAGCCCGAGCCCCCACCCCCAGCCCCCACCCCCAGCCCCCACACCAAGCCCCCATTCTCAGCCCCCACCCCTAGCCCCAGCCCCCACACCAAGCCCCCAGCCCCAGCCCCCAGCCCCAGCCCCCACCCCCAGCCCCCAGCCCCCCCGGGGAAAGCGAACGCCGATCGAGGGGGGGGGGGTGGAGGTTGAGGAGTTTGTGTTCAATCCTGGGGGGGGTTATGGGGGGGGAGTGGTGGGGAGTGGTGGACAATTCTGGGGGGGGTTATGGGGGGGGTTATGGGGGGGGGGTTATGGGGGGGGGGGTGGTGGACAATCCTGGGGGGTTATGGGGGGAGTGGTGGACAATTCTTGGGGGGGGGGGGTTATGGGGGGGTGGTGGACAATCGGGTAACGATGACGCTGCCGTGTAAACGCTCTCTCCACCACCCCCCCACCACCCCCCCAATAATTAACTCCATACGGCCATATGTGCAGCAGATACCGTAAAAGCGAGCTGATTACTAATATTGTATTTAAAACCACGCTCGCTCGCTCGCTCACGCGGGGGGGGGGGGGGGGAGTGAAGTGAAGAATACACAAAAAAGAATCCGGGCCATTGCGTACAGTGTTGCAACATGTGGTGTGTGTGCCACGTGTGTTTTGTAGCAATACAGCGGAGGGCACACACGCACGCAGAAGACGGAGGAGGGAGACTTCACTCAGCCGAGAGCAGAGCCACCGCGTGGGCGAGTGGCGGAGGTCGGCGTCGCCCCCTGCCGTCTTTGTATCCCCCGGCGACGGTGTTTTATAACACACAATTGGTCCCATATATCTGTGTTTGTGCGTGTGTCTCTGTGTGTCTCTGTGTGTGTGTGTGGCCGAGTGCGGAGCGGTGGTGCAGCGGTTAGCGCTGCGCTACGAACCTGGCGACCCGAGTTCGATTCCCGCTCACGGCCAACATCAGGTGACGATTATTTGAACCGGTTCTGGGCCTCCCCTCGGTCGACTCAGCCTCAAATGAGTACCTGGTGCGGTGTGTAAACATCGCCACTGGGGAGACAAAGGCGGCCGGGCGTGGTGCTGGCCACCCACTCCCTCGTGTGCCGTGCCGGCCTTCATAGGTGCTACTCGCTAACAGCACTTGCCCCTACAGTCTGTTACAGGCTACACGGGGGATGTTTGTCTTTGTGTGTGGCCGAGTCGACCTAAGGGAGGCCCAAACCATGCACACGAGGAACCGGTTCGAATGGCTGTCTCGCCGGGGCCGCCTTTGTCTCCCCCAGTCGGGGACGTTCACGACACACCAGGGACTCATTTGAGGCCGAGTCGACCTAGGGGTGAGTGCCCCAGGGACCGGTTTCAGATAATCGTCGCCGGGCGTTGGTGGCCGTGAGCGGGAGTCGAACTCGGGTCGCCGGGTCCGTAGCGCAGCGTAGCGCTAACCGCTGCACCACCGATCCCCACACACACACACAGAGACGCAGCGACACGCGGATTGTGTAGATCCCGACCTAAATATCCCCATCTGGAGGAGGAGAACGGAAGACCCTCTCGTTGAAGGTCACGTACGTGCAGCCGTCATCATCATAGGGACATGGTCGATCCATGAACCGGTCCTGCGCCTCCTCTAGGTCGACTCAGCCTTAAATGAGCACCTGATGCCATGCGTGCTATCCTGGCCTTAACAGGTGCTCGCTAACAATACCGCCCATAGACTCAACACTGCCCATAGACTCAACACTGCCCATAGACTCAACACTGCCCATAGACTCAACACTGCCCATAGAATCAACACTGCACCATAGACTCAACACTGCCCATAGACTCAACACTGCCCATAGACTCAAAACTGCCCATAGACTCAACACTGCCCATAGACTCAACACTGCCCATAGACTCAACACTGCCCAGAGACTCAACACTGCCCAGAGACTCAACACTGCCCATAGACTCAACACTGCCCAGAGACTCAACACTGCCCATAGACTCAACACTGCCCATAGACTCAAAACTGTCCATAGACTCAACACTGCCCAGAGACTCAACACTGCCCATAGACTCAACACTGCCCATAGACTCAACACTGCCCATAGACTCAACACTGCCCATAGACTCAACACTGCCCATAGACTCAACACTGCCCATAGAATCAACACTGCACCATAGACTCAACACTGCCCATAGACTCAACACTGCCCATAGACTCAAAACTGCCCATAGACTCAACACTGCCCAGAGACTCAACACTACCCATAGACTCAACACTACCCATAGACTCAACACTGCCCATAGCCTCAACACTACCCATAGACTCAACACTACCCATAGACTCAACACTGCCCATAGACTCAACACTGCCCATAGACTCAACACTACCCATCGACTCAACACTGACCACGGTCCCTTACGTTCTGCCATTGCTAGTACATTTCTTAAAAGCGTGTTTTTAAAAGAAGTAAATATTATTTAAAACTTCATTGCACATTACTCAATTTGGCATTGCACAGAGTAGAAGCAACATCATCGCTCCCCTCTACTCACAGGCTAACACACAGGGACAGCTGCTACTGGGGGTGCCCATAGGCTAGACCACAGCAGCAGCAACAGCAGAATCACACCCCTAAAAGGCAACCAAACACTCATCAACGCGTTCGTCAATTAATGCTCGTGTAAGCCTTTAAAAAAACATTGTACAGCAGCAGCAGCAACATCGCCTCCCTCCCCTAATGACAGACGCGTGACCCTGGCCCCGTCAACTGACCGCTGGTGAACCAGTCGACGCGCTCACCTCCGAGGGACCGATGCACGAGGCTGGCCGCGAGGGCGATGAACACGACGAGGCCCGCAGGCGCCACGTGGCTGCCGAGAAACGTGCAGAGGGCAACAGCGACCGCGCGTTAGTCGTGAGCACGTGGTCAAGCCCGCTGCTGCGTGAAGATCTCCCCATGACATCATCACCACCATCATCATCACCATCATCATCATCGTCAGCCGTGGTCAGCCCGCTGCTGCGTGAAGACTTCCCCATGACATCACCACCACCACCATCATCATCATCATCGTCAGCCGTGGTCAGCCCGCTGCTGCGTGAAGACCTCCCCATGACATCACCACCATCATCGTCATCATCGCCAGCCGTGGTCAATCATCACCACCATCATCATCATCGTCAGCCGTGGTCAATCCACTGCTGCGTGAAGATCTCCCCAAGACATCACCACCACCATCATCATCACCATCACCACCATCACCACCACCATCACCACCACCATCACCACCACCACCACCATCATCATCATCATCATCGTCAGCCGTGGTCAATCCACTGCTGCGTGAAGATCTCCCCAAGACATCACCACCACCATCATCACCATCACCACCACCATCACCACCATCACCACCACCATCATCATCGTCAGCCGTGGTCAATCTACTGCTGCGTGAAGACATCACTGACTTTTGTTCACAGTTTGAACGGCGTGATGAAGCTGTGTGTGTGTGTGTTCTCTAATCACGTGGGCTCCTCTTCCAGTTTCTCAGTGACCCTCGAAGGATGAACATAAATACATGAATATTGTTTGCATCTCTCTGGCAAACAATCCACCTGACGTGCGGATAGTGGTTGGGGGTGGGGGGGGGGTTGTTTGACCATACTTCACCACCCTGGCCAATTGTAAAAACTAAAACTGACTGACGGGCAAAATAAATGTCCTGACCAAAAGACAAAAATCCCCGTATAGCCTGTAACGGACTGTTGGGGCAAGTGCTGCTAGCGAGTAGCACCTATGAAGGCCGGCACGGCACAAGCGAGGGGGTGGGTGGCCAGCACCACGCCCGTCCGCCTTTGTCTCCCCAGTGGCGATGTTTACACATCGCACCAGGTAACTCATTTGAGGCTCAGTCGACCTCGGGGAGGCCCAGGACCGGTTCAGATAATCGCCACCGGTGTTGGCCGTTAACGGGAATCGAGTTCGGGCCGCCGGGTTTGTAGCGCAGCGTAGCGCTGACCGCTACACCACCCCTCCCCTACAAGCACGCACACACAGACACATCGACACACACGCACACAACAAAGAACAAAGATCCCCCATATAGCCTTAACAGACTGTAGGGGCAAGTGCTGTTAGCGAGCACCTATGAAGGCCGGAATGGTACACGAGGGGGTGGGTGGCCAGCGCCACGCCCGACCGCCTTTGTCTCCCTAGTGGCGATGTTTACACACCGCACCAGGTACTCATTTGAGGCTGAGTCGACCTAGGGGAGGCCCAGGACCGGTTCAGATAATCGTCACTGGTGTTTGCCGTGAGCGGGAATCGAACCGGGCTCGCCAGGTTCGTAGTGCAGCGCGCTAACCGCTACACCACCGCTCCCCACAGACACATCGACACACACGCACACACGCGCGCGCACATCAGCGCAGACCCAATTTAAGTGATATTGGCACAATAATGACAGCTTAAAAAGTACAAAGAACGCCCTCCCACCCCCACCCCCATCCCCACCCGTCCTCCCGTGCCAAGTGAATGACGTATTCAAACGACACCGCAAGCCATCGACAAAGTGGCGGCTTGCCCTACCGCGTGCTCGCCCCCAGCGGCCACGTGATCGCCCCCCAGCGGCCACGTGCTCGCCCCGAGCGGCCACGTGATCGCCCCCAGCGGCCACGTGATCGCCCCCAGCGGCCACGTGATCGCCCCCAGCGGTCACGTGAGCGCCCCCATCGGTCACGTGATCGCCCCCAGCGGCCACGTGATCGCCCCCAGCGGTCACGTGATCGCCCCCATCGGTCACGTGATCGCCCCCAGCGGTCACGTGATCGCCCCCAGCGGCCACGTGATCGCCCCCAGCGGCCACGTGATCGCCCCCAGCGGTCACGTGATCGCCCCCAGCGGCCACGTGATCGCCCCCAGCGGTCACGTGATCGCCCCCAGCGGCCACGTGATCGCCCCCAGCGGCCACGTGATCGCCCCCAGCGGTCACGTGAGCGCCGCGAGCGGTCACGTGCTCGCACCATCCATCAATGGCCCCCGCAGCCGTCGCCACGCGGTTCTCACGTGGTACACAACTCAGCGGCGACAAATTCGTTCCGTTGCTCGCCGAATGAACATTTCACCGATCGAGAGGAGCCGGTGGAGGTGGTTCGGGCACCCGGTGAGGATTTCCCTCCCCGGTAAACTCCCCGTGCCACTGGGTGTAGAAGAAGCCCCGGGGCCGGGCCCAGGGCACGCTGCTGGCGGGACGATGTCGCTCGGCTGGCCTGGGAATGTCTGGAATTCTCTCAGGAATAGCGAGGAGTCTGTGTGTAGTGTAGTGTGTAGTGTAGTGTGTATAGTGTAGTAGTGTATAGTAGTGTGTAGAGCAGGGGTCCTCAAACTACGGCCCGCGGGCCACATGCGGCCCGCCGAGGACATTTATCCGGCCCGCCGGGTGTTTTTGCCGCCGCTGCCTGCCTGTTACTTTTTTTCTACATGAGAAGGACGGTCATTGGTGGAAGAGGGAGAGGGGGCGGAGTTTCCCCCAATCAGACTGCATTGATGGGCAGTGGAGTCTGTATGTCTCTGTGTGGGCAAAGTTATTGCTGGTATATTGTTTTTGTAGCACTGTACTACATATGCCCGTGCTGCATATGTAGTACTATTAACATTCCTGCATTTCCCATAAATATGCTAAATTCCTCTTGATATGCAAATTATTTTGTCAAGGCGCTCTTTCCCCCGTTTCCAACCCAGCTTATATATGCTCCAAGCTCGTGTGCTGTTTCATTCAGACGCTGTCTCCCCGACAGACCTGGTTTTCACCTGAGGACGGCTGCTTGCGTTGTGGCCGAAACGTCGTGAGAATTATTTTATTATGTTTTATTTTTATTATTTTATTACTTCCCTTCTACGTGACTTTACCGAAAGAACCAAGAAGAGAGGATATCTATGAAATGGTTTGCCAAACTGTGAATGGTTTGGAGCTGAACTGGGCTAAACTAGTCAGTGTGACAACTGATGGTCCTCCTAGCATGGTGGGGTCTAAGAAAGGAGTAATTGCTCGCATTAACCAAGAGATGGACAAACATAACCATTCTCAACCAATAGCCATACATTGCCTCATCCACCAACAAGCGCTGTGGAGTAAATCACTGAAGTGGGACTCGGTTATGAAATTTGTGGTATCTTGTGTTAACTTCATTAGAGCTCATGCACTAAACCACAGACAATTTCAGGCATTTCTGTCTGAGCTAAATGTTGACTATGAAGATGTTCTGTATCACACAGAAGTCAGTTGGCTGAGTCGAGGGAGAGTTTTGAAACGTTTCTATGACTTACTTCCGCAGATTACAGCTTTTCTGCTTAAAAAAAAACAAAGAAGTACCAGAGCCCAATGATGCAGAATGGAAATGGCACCTTGCCTTTCTGACAGATGTAACAGAGCTACTCAACAGTTTCAATGTGCAACTTCAAGGAAAGGTGAAGCTCATCTGTGATATGCAATCACATGTCAAAGCATTTGAAGTAAAATTAGGCCTCCTCATCAAACAAGTGAAGGAGGAAAACTTCTGCCATCTCCCCACAACTCAAAATCTGTTAGCGGAAAAACCATTGGTTGCATTCCCAAACAAAACGTGTGGATTCACTGGAAAAATTGCAAAAGGAGTTCCAATTTGGATTTAAAGAGCTTCATCTCCATGAACAGGACATACAGCTTTTCCGTAACCCATTTTCTATTGACATTGAAAATGTGGATACAATTTACCAAATGGAACTGGCTGAACTGCAGAATTGTGACTCTCTGAAAGACGCATTCAAGTCAAGCAGCCTTCATAATTTCTATGCATCTCTCCCCTCTGAGACATATCCTCATCTCAGGAACCATGCACTCAAAATGGCAACCATCTTTGGCAGCACTTATGTCTGTGAACAGACTTTTTCCAGAATGAAACATTTGAAATCTCCAACCAGATCTAGACTAACGGATGCACACTTGCATCACTTGTTACGACTAGCAGTGACAAATATGGAACCGGACATTGACCATCTCATTAGCCAAAAGCAGGCCCATAGTTCCCATTGAAATACTGGCAAGTTTGTTGATTTAACTTTACTTGTTCTTCATTTTAAATATTGTATTTGTTCCCGTTTTGTTTCTTCACTTCAAAATAAGATATATGCAGTGTGCATAGGAATTTGTTCATAGTTTTTTTTTTACTATAGTCCGGCCCTCCAACGGTCTGAGGGACAGTGAACTGGCCCCCTGTTTAAAAAGTTTGAGGACCCCTGGTGTAGAGTATAGTGTATAGTAGTGTATAGTGTAGTGTACAGTAGTCTATAGTGTAGTGTGTAGTGTAGTGTATCGTAGTGTATAGTGTTGTCGTGTGTAGTGTATAGTGTAGTGCATAGTGTAGTGTAGTGTGTAGTGTAGTGTGTAGTGTAGTGTATAGTGTAGTGTGTAGTGTAGTATATAGTGTAGTGTATAGTATAGTGTATAGTGTAGTGTATAGTGTAGTGTGTAGTGTAGTGTATAGTGTAGTGTGTAGTGTATAGTGTAGTGTATATAGTGTAGTGTATACTGTAGTGTATAGTGTAGTGTGTAGTGTATAGTGTAGTGTATATAGTGTAGTGTGTAGTGTATAGTGTAGTGTGTAGTGTAGTGTATAGTGTAGTGTGTAGTGTATAGTGTAGTGTATATAGTGTAGTGTATAGTGTAGTGTATAGTAGTGTATAGTGTAGTGTATAGTAGTGTATAGTGTAGTGTATAGTGTAGTGTATAGTGTAGTAGTGTATAGTGTGGTGTATAGTAGTGTATAGTGTAGTGGTGTATAGTAGTGTATAATGTAGTTGTGTATAGTAGTGTATAGTGTTGTAGTGTATAGTGTAGTGTATAGTGTAGTGTATAGTGTATCGTAGTGTATAGTGTAGTAGTGTAAAGTAATATATAGTATAGTAGTATATAGTGTAGTATATAGTAGTGTAGTGTAAAGTAGTGCAGTGGATAGTGTAGTGTATGGTGTAGTATATAGTAGTGTAGTGTATAGTAGTGTAGTGTATAGTAGTGCAGTGGATAGTGTAGTGCTTCCATAAACCCCAATGTGTTCGCTCACCGACCATTCCTCTGTTAATGACGAGCTGTCGTAGTTACAATAAATATTAATCAATTAATTGATTAACCATAAACCTGAACTCTGCCTGTTCCATCTCTGCGGCATCGAGTGTTTCTCCCTCGCACGAGTCGGGCTTTCTCCGGCGTGCAAGCGCCCGTTAATCGGCCGATGGCACCCTTCATCAGACGAAGAGATAGGATCGCAGAGCTTGGGAAATTGTTGGTAGCGAACGGCTCATCGCTGCATGGCGGTTGCTGCTGCCTGCCTGCTCGTGCCTCTGTGGTTCATTCTCCCCCCCTCCTAGCGGCAAGTCACAAGTCGAACAAAAACTTGTTGCGATTAACTCTAATATATAATTACCGTGATGTTTATTATGATTAACACTTAGTATGCTGTCGCGACCAATATCATCCATAACACAGGTTTTTTTACACGCCGAACTCACTCTGTCCGTTGTTGTTGCCGTTGTATCTTCAAATCTTGTAACTCAATTTCAACCCACTTCCCAATGTGGTATCGATTGCAAACTTGGTATACTTATGTCATACTGATGACAATACTATATTCTATCATAAAAAAAATTTCAACATTATTTTTAATATGTTATGCTTCGGCTTGAGTCTAATTGTCCACGGTAAACTGACGTTGGCTGTAAATGACCACGGTCCCTTACGTTATGGCAAGCTTCGGGGCCAGTTCTGCCATTACTACAGTATATTTCATAAAAGCATGTTTAAAAAAAAGTTTTAAAAAATATTACTTATTTTGGGTTATATCGTGTAAATAAATGTGTCGTTAAACCGGCCACCACCCGACACAGACAATTCGAAAGGTTTGTCTAGTAAACAGAACATGCCAATACACTACAATATACACTACACTATATACTGCTATACACTACACTATACACTAAACTATATACTGCTATACACTTCACTATAAACTACACTATACACTGTTATGCACTACACTATAAACTACACTATACACTGCTATACACTACCATACACTACACTATACACTACACTATACACTACCATCCACTACACTATACACTACTCTACACTACACTATACACTACACTATACACTTCACTATACACTACACTATCATACACTCATATACACTACACTATACACTACACTATACACTACACTATACACTACTATACACTACACTATACACTATCATACTCTCCTATACACTACACTATACACTACACTATACACTACACTATACACTACACTATACACTACACTATACACTACTATACACTACACTATACACTACACTATACACTACACTATACACTATCATACACTCCTATACACTATACTATACACTACTATACACTATACACTACACTATACACTACACTATACACTATCATACACTCCTATACACTACACTATACACTACACTATACACTATACACTACACTATACACTACTATACACTACCCTATACACTATCATACTCTCCTATACACTACACTATACACTACACTATACACTACACTATACACTATACACTACACTATACACTACTATACACTACACTATACACTATCATACTCTCCTATACACTACACTATACACTACACTATACACTACACTATACACTACACTATACACTACCACAGTACGTATGTTGAACTTCGTTCGCACCGTACGTAGCCAACCGCGCTGACCGGAGGAGATCTTTGGCAGCGATCACGACTATCATCACGACTATCATCACGACTATCATCACGATTGGGCAGCGACGACCCTCTCCTCGTCACGGGCTGACTCAATCGGTCACATTCGTCGAAGACGGCTGATGGCAACTTTTTTTTCTCGAATTTCTTTTTTTTTTGCAAAGCTCCCAATTGGCAAGGGGATCGCATACAGTAAAAAAAATTGCATCTTACGCATTCTTTGGCAGCGTACTGAGTCTTGCGCTCAGCCAAAGTCTGGCCGTAGCCCGCCAGGATTATACATTTTATATATATATTATTTTTACGTATAAACAGATGATGGGGGTGCATGCAGGGGAAAGAAAGAGCGGCTTGTGAGAGGGAGGGGAAAAAATTAACCCGTAAAAACAAAGTTTTTCACTCTAAATCCTTTATATGCGTGGCGTCCTCTGGCTTGAGATGGCTGCCACCTATGGGTCAGATGATTGTCTGCCAGCATTAAGCAATTGGTAATTAAATATTTAAAAAGAATTTCCCTAAACAGTGTAAAATTTTGGAAACATTTTTTCACGAAAATTAATTGTCACGCACAACGAGTCTGTGTGGAAAATGTCAGCTCGATTGGATCACGGGAAGTGGGTTAAAAAACGACCGAAAGATTTGCACAGTCGTAAGCAAGCAAGCACGCACGCAAGCACGCAAGCGAACTTAATATAAAGGATTTAAAAAATACGTGGACGTCTCATTTCGAAAGCTCTCCCCTCGCCGCCCGCCGCTCCCATGGACGGCGCCACGCACAGATGGATTCAACAATCCGCACTTTGCAACGCAGAACCCGGTAATGGGCGACACGTGGGCTCCAACCCCACACCGCCCCAACTGCGACCTCGCCCAGGCTCGGACCTGCTTAGCTTCTGAGAACCGGCGAGGTTCGGCCGCAGTCTTGGGATCTCCCGTTGCGGCAGGTTCAGGCGACAGAACAAGTCCCTGAAGCCATTAAAACTATTCAACTACTTTGTTATATTTGCCAGGTAAGGTCCACTGAGCTCTGTAGCCATTTTTGTGGCGAGATGTTAACTACCTCGCCTGGTATGCGGGAGGTCGTGGGTTCGATCCCGACCCTGACGCCTGCTGCGTATTTGGAGTTTGTGGTGTCTCATCATCATCACGGTGGCTAGGAGATGTTAACTACCTCGCCTGGTCTACAGGAGGTCGTGGGTTTGATCTCGACCCTGACGATGCCTGCTGCTGTATATCATCTCCAACATCAACATCACCATCAACATCATCTCCAACATCCTCATCATCATCAACATCACCATCAACATCATCTCCAACATCCTCATCATCAATATCAACATCACCATCAACATCATCTCCAACATCCCCATCACCATCAACATCATCTCCAACATCCTCATCATCAATGTCACCATCAACATCATCTCCAACATCATCATCATCAACATCACCATCAACATCATATCCAACATCCTCATCATCAATATCACCATCACCATCAACATCATCTCCAACATCCTCATCATCAATGTCACCAACAACATCATCTCCAACATCCCCATCAATATCAACATCATCTCCAACATCCTCATCATCAACATCACCATCAACATAATCTCCAACATCCTCATCAACATCACCATCAACATCATCTCCAACATCATCATCATCAATGTAACCATCGACATCATCTCCAACATCCTCATCAACATCACCATCAACATCATCTCCAACATCATCATCATCAACATCACCATCAATATCATCTCCAACATCCTCAATATCAACATCACCATCATCTCCAACAACATCCCCATCAATGTCACCATCAACATCATCTCCAACATCCTCATCCTCAACATCACCATCAACATCATCTCCAACATCCTCATCATCAACATCACCATCAACATCATCTCCAACATCCTCATCCTCAATATCAACATCACCATCATCTCCAACATTCTCATCATCACCATCAACATCATCTCCAACATCCTCATCATCAACATCACCATCAACATCATCGCCAACATCTTCAACATCACCATCACCATCATCTCCAACATCTTCATCCTCAATATCAACATCACCATCATCTCCAACATCCTCATCATCAACGTCACCATCAACATCATCTCCAACATCCTCATCATCAACATCACCATCAACATCATCTCCAACATCCTCATCAATATCAACATCACCATCAACATCATCTCCAACATTCTCATCCTCAATATCAACATCACCATCATCTCCAACATCCTCATCCTCACCATCACCATCATCTCCAACATCCTCATCAACATCACCATCAACATCATCTCCAACATCATCATCAATGTAACCATCGACATCATTTCCAACATCCTCATCAACATCACCATCAACATCATCTCCAACATCATCATCAACATCACCATCAATATCATCTCCAACATCCTCAATATCAACATCACCATCATCTCCAACAACATCCCCATCAATGTCACCATCAACATCATCTCCAACATCCTCATCCTCAACATCACCATCAACATCATCTCCAACATCCTCATCACCGTCCGGGTCGTCTCCCATCGCGGCTTCACCTGCGGCACGGAGACGCGGCGCGGTGTCGACGAGGAGGCCGTGACGACGTGAGCCCACGTGGAGGAGGTGGAGGTGGAGGAGGTGAAGGAGGTGGAGGAGGTGGAGGAGGTGGAGAAGATGGCGAGTCGAGGCGATGACGAGGGATGACAGACCTTGGCAGCGGGACCATTGTCGCGGCTCCCGAATCTTCCGGGATGCAGTGCGACCGCCTTCGATGCCCATTAGACGACAACCTTCAGGGTCCGTGGAGGAGCTGCGCCTTAGCGGAGGTGGACGCGAGGAGTCATCAGACGGGGCAAGGGGCAGGGGGGTCGGGATCGATCGTAGAGCGAGAAGATCGATGGCTCAAATGGACCAAAGTCAAAAAAATGGAAAAAAATAAAAATGAAAAATCGTTCCCGATCTAAGCCAAGACAAATAATAATAATAATCTGTCTCTCCCTTTCTCAGATGATGTCGATTAAGACGACATATGTGTTTGTGTGACTGCAGATCGCTCCGGCTTAGAGCTAGCGAGCTTAGCGGATTGTTCAGTTCCGTGGTGGACTTTGCGGTGTCGGTGGTGGTGGTGGTGAAACCGGCGATTGAGAAAATCCGAATTGGAGGTTGGTTTCAGATGGGGTGCGACGTGAAAAGAGAAGTGGTGGCGAATTTGTTAAAGAGACGGAACGGTTGAAGACGAGCAATTGTGATTGAGGTGAATCATTTCCGAGCCGAGTAATAAAAAATAAAAAATAAAAATCAATTTAAAGAGAGTTACTGTCACTCGAATATTAATAAAAAATTAGTTCCGATTTTATTTTAAAATATTTATCCCAAATGTGTCGCGCGTTGACGAACGAACGCTGCAATGCTCGCGGGGAGAGAAGTTCGAGACGGATTTCGCGAGCGGCGATGATGAGTTCGAAACTTTCCGATCACATAACGTTGAACATCACACTTTAAGTTCGGCTCCGCGCCCGTGAGCTTTCCCAAACAAGCAGGCGAACGACCAGACGGACGACCCAAATCTCTCACGACAACAACAACAACAGCCCCGTTCGCTCCCACCGGCGTGTCTGTAAAATTAAAATCAAATTCGTAAGATTAACGATTTGGCCGCCACATTCAAAAGGTGATGGCATTGGCCGATGCGCCGGTAATTTGTAGTAATCTCGCTTATTGTAATCCGACGGGATTCCATCCGACGTGATGAAAACGAGAGAGTGAGTTAAGAGAGACGTCTCGATCTGCGGTGGTTCGTCACCTGCGCACAGAGATCGATCGGGAATTTCATCGGGTTTTTTTTTGGGGGGGGAGGGTTGTGTGGTCACTTAGGCCACCACCGCCACCACCGCCGCCACCACCGCCGCCACCACCACCGCCACCACCGCCACCACCACCGTCACCACGATAACCGCTCCAAACCGCTTCGGTTAAAATTAATAAATTATATCTCCTCCACCCAGCCCCCCACTCCCCCCCCCCCCCCACCAAAAAAATATAAAATTACCAAAAAATAAACCTCTGCCGAAAAATGAACGATTGTTAAAATTACGATTATTGTAACAACGACAAAAAAACCTCCCGCAGAAGCTGTAAAATACTAATAAATTAACGAGAGCGCAAGAAATGATCTGGGGTTTCAAAGAAAAAAAAAGCCAACTTACTTAAACGAATAAAAAAATCAGGTTAACATTGTAGCGAGTCCACCGATAACGCTTTACAAAGACACGCGCACGATCACGTGATCGCAAGGGCTTTACTTTAAATCGTGCTAGAAATGTGAACCTTAAACTGGAACCGATGGACGGCTATGAGATTGTGGAACGGATGATGGCTTCGGCATCGCCCTACAGACTCGATGTCGGGTTTAGCTTTTGACAGTCGCCTTTCATTTTCTGCTGCTGCTGATGATGATAATGATGCTGATGATGATGCTGTTGCTGCTGTTGCTGCTGAGCTGATGATGATGTTGCTGCTGTTGCTGATTCTGCTGCTGCTGTTGTTGCTGGGCTAATGATGATGCTGCTGCTGCTGCTGTTGCTGCTGATTCTAATGCTGATGTTGCTGCTGCTGAGCTGATGATGATGTTGCTGCTGCTGCTGTTGCTGTTGCTGCTGCCGCTGATTCTGCTGTTGCTAAGTTGATGATGATGATGCTGCTGCTGAGCTGATGATGATGTTGCTGCTGCTGAGCTGATGTTGCTGTTGCTGATGCTGATTCTGCTATTGCTGAGCTGATGATGATGATGCTGCTGCAGAGCTGATGATGGTGTTGCTGCTGCAGAGCTGATGTTGCTGTTGCTGATGCTGATTCTGCTGTTGCTGAGCTGATGATGATGATGCTGCTGCTGAGCTGATGATGCTGCTGCAGAGCTGCTGATGATGTTGCTGCTGCAGAGCTGATGATGATGCTGCTGCTACTGCCGCTGAGCTGATGATGCTGCTGCTGCTGAGCTGATGCTGATGTTGCTGCTGCTGAGCTTATGATGATGCTGCTGAGCTGATGCTGCTGAGCTGATGATGATGTTGCTGAGCTGATGGTGATACTGCTTCTGCTGCTGAGCTGATGATGATGATGCTGCTGCTGCAGCTGATGTTGCTGCTGCTGAGATGATGATGATGCTGCTGCTGAGCTGATGCTGCTGCTGCTGCCGCTGCTGCTGCTGCCTGCTGGCTGAATGGTTAACAGTGAAGACCTGTGGTTTAATTTCCTTACTGCGGCCCTAGGGGTAAAGTCTCTGTGTGTGTGTGAAGTTTAAGTATGGGTGTCTGTGCGTGCGTGCGTGCAAGATGTGTGTATGCATGTGTGATCTATGTGTGAGTTTTGTCTGTAAGTTTAAATGTGCGTGTGTGTGTGTGTACGATACGTGTATAAGTTAAAGCCTTGTAATCATGTGCGTGGTCTGCGCGCGTGTGTGTGCGTGTGCGTTTGAATGCGTGGGTGTGTGTGAGATCTCTCTCTCTGCGAATGTGTGTGTGTGCTGTGTGTGTGTGTGTTGTGCGTATGTGTGTGGTCTGTGTGTGTGTGTTAGTCTGCGCGCGCGCGTGTGTGTGTGATGTGAGGGCGTGAGTGAATGGGATGTGTGTGTGTATGTATGTGTGTGATCTGTGTGCGTGTGTGAGTATGGGGAGCGGTGGTGCAGCGGTTAGCGCTACGCTGCGCTACGAACCCGGCCACCCGAGTTCGATTCCCGCTCACGGCCAACACCAACAGTGACGATTATCTGAACTGGTCCTGGGCCTCCCCGAGGTCGACTCAGCCTCAAATGAGTACCTGGTGCGGTGTGTCAACATCGCCACTGGGGAGACAAAGGCGGTCGGGCGTGGTGCTGGCCATCGACCCCCTCGTGTGCCGTGCCGGCCTTCATAGGTGCTACTCGCTAACAGCACTTGCCCCAACAGTCTGTTAAGGCTACACGGGGGATCTTTTGTGTGTGTGTAAGATGTCTGTGTGTGTATTTGTATGAATGTATATTGGTGTGTGCGCGTGTGAATATTCCACCAAACTACCACAATCACCGACGACTTTCTCTCTCTCTCTCTGAAGATATATGTAATGTAGAACTTCTTTCGCACCGTACGTAGCCAACCGTGCGAATCGGTTGGCTTCTCTGTGCCGTGCCCTCTCTCTCTCTCTCAGCCTCTTCTTTCGAATCGACTAAATCTCTGTGAGTCTCTCTGTGTGAGTCTCTCTCTCTGTGAGTCTCTCTTTGTGAGTCTCGGAGTCTCCCTGTGTGAGTCTCTCTGTGAGTCTCTCTGTGTGAGTCTCCCTGTGTGAGTCTCTCTGTGAGTCTCTCTGTGTGAGTCTCCCTGTGTGAGTCTCTCTGTGTGAGTCTCTCTGTGTGAGTCTCTCTGTGTGAGTTTCTCTCTCTGTGAGTCTCTCTTTGTGAGTCTCGGAGTCTCCCTGTGTGAGTCTCTCTGTGAGTCTCTCTGTGAGTCTCTCTGTGTGAGTCTCTCTGTGTGAGTCTCTCTGTGTGAGTCTCTCTGTGTGAGTCTCTCTCTCTGTGAGTCTCTCTTTGTGAGTCTCGGAGTCTCCCTGTGTGAGTCTCTCTGTGAGTCTCTCTGTGTGAGTCTCTCTGTGTGAGTCTCTCTGTGTGAGTCTCTCTGTGAGTCTCTCTGTGTGAGTCTCCCTGTGTGAGTCTCCCTGTGTGAGTCTCTCTCTGTGTGAGTCTCTCTGTGTGAGTCTCTCTGTGTGAGTCTCTCTGTGTGAGTTTCTCTCTCTGTGAGTCTCTCTTTGTGAGTCTCGGAGTCTCCCTGTGTGAGTCTCTCTGTGAGTCTCTCTGTGAGTCTCTCTGTGTGAGTCTCCCTGTGTGAGTCTCTCTGTGAGTCTCTCTGTGTGAGTCTCCCTGTGTGAGTCTCCCTGTGTGAGTCTCTCTCTGTGTGAGTCTCTCTGTGTGAGTCTCTCTGTGTGAGTCTCTCTGTGTGAGTTTCTCTCTCTGTGAGTCTCTTTTTGTGAGTCTCGGAGTCTCCCTGTGTGAGTCTCTCTGTGAGTCTCTCTGTGAGTCTCTCTGTGTGAGTCTCCCTGTGTGAGTCTCCCTGTGTGAGTCTCTCTCTGTGTGAGTCTCTCTGTGTGAGTCTCTCTGTGTGAGTCTCTCTGTGTGAGTTTCTCTCTCTGTGAGGCTCTCTTTGTGAGTCTCTGAGTCTCTCTGTGTGAGTCTCTCTGTGAGTCTCTCTGTGAGTCTCTCTGTGTGAGTCTCCCTGTGTGAGTCTCTCTCTGTGTGAGTCTCTCTGTGTGAGTCTCTCTGTGTGAGTCTCCCTGTGTGAGTCTCTCTCTGTGTGAGTCTCTCTGTGTGAGTCTCTCTGTGAGTCTCTCTGTGTGAGTCTCCCTGTGTGAGTCTCTCTCTGTGTGAGTCTCTCTGTGTGAGTCTCTCTGTGAGTCTCTCTGTGAGTCTCTCTGTGAGTCTCTCTGTGTGAGTCTCTCTGTGTGAGTCTCCCTGTGTGAGTCTCTCTGTGAGTCTCTCTGTGAGTCTCTCTGTGTGAGTCTCTCTGTGTGAGTCTCTCTGTGTGAGTCTCTCTGTGTGAGTCTCTCTGTGTGAGTTTCTCTCTCTGTGAGTCTCGGAGTCTCCCTGTGTGAGTCTCTCTGTGAGTCTCTCTGTGTGAGTTTCTCTGTGTGAGTCTCCCTGTGTGAGTCTCTCTGTGAGTCTCTCTGTGTGAGTCTCCCTGTGTGAGTCTGCCTGTGTGAGTCTCTCTCTGTGTGAGTCTCTCTGTGTGAGTCTCTCTGTGTGAGTCTCTCTGTGTGAGTTTCTCTCTCTGTGAGTCTCTCTTTGTGAGTCTCGGAGTCTCCCTGTGTGAGTCTCTCTGTGAGTCTCTCTGTGAGTCTCTCTGTGTGAGTCTCCCTGTGTGAGTCTCTCTGTGAGTCTCTCTGTGTGAGTCTCCCTGTGTGAGTCTCCCTGTGTGAGTCTCTCTCTGTGTGAGTCTCCCTGTGTGAGTCTCCCTGTGTGAGTCTCTCTCTGTGTGAGTCTCCCTGTGTGAGTCTCTCTCTCTGTGAGTCTCTCTTTGTGAGTCTCTGAGTCTCTCTGTGTGAGTCTCCCTGTGTGAGTCTCTCTGTGTGAGTCTCTCTGTGTGAGTTTCTCTCTCTGTGAGTCTCTCTTTGTGAGTCTCGGAGTCTCCCTGTGTGAGTCTCTCTGTGTGAGTTTCTCTGTGTGAGTCTCTCTGTGTGAGTCTCTCTGTGTGAGTCTCTCTGTGTGAGTCTCTCTGTGTGAGTTTCTCTCTCTGTGAGTCTCTCTTTGTGAGTCTCGGAGTCTCCCTGTGTGAGTCTCTCTGTGAGTCTCTCTGTGTGAGTCTCCCTGTGTGAGTCTCCCTGTGTGAGTCTCTCTCTGTGTGAGTCTCTCTGTGAGTCTCTCTGTGTGAGTCTCCCTGTGTGAGTCTCCCTGTGTGAGTCTCTCTCTGTGTGAGTCTCTCTGTGTGAGTCTCTCTGTGTGAGTCTCCCTGTGTGAGTCTCTCTCTCTGTGAGTCTCTCTTTGTGAGTCTCTGAGTCTCTCTGTGTGAGTCTCTCTGTGTGAGTCTCTCTGTGTGAGTTTCTCTGTGTGAGTCTCTCTGTGTGAGTCTCTCTGTGTGAGTCTCTCCCTGTGTGAGTCTCTCTGTGTGAGTCTCTCTGTGTGAGTCTCTCTGTGTGAGTCTCTCCCTCTGTGTGAGTCTCTGTGTGAGTCTCTCTGTGTGAGTTTCTCTCTCTCTGTGAGTCTCTCTGTGTGAGTATCTCTGTGTGAGTCTCTCTGTGTGAGTCTCTCTGTGTGAGTCTCCCTGTGTGAGTCTCACTCTCTGTGAGTCTCTCTTTG